CAGCCACTGCTACTCAGTGAGGATGATGCTGTGGCACTGATGCCTTTCAAAGGAACACGGTGGGAGTCTCAAAGGCATAAAGTAGCTCCTTGTCTGAGGGGGGCATGACCTGTACTAGCATGAATCCTGCCACCAGGGAGGGGGTTAGGCTTTACACTGCTTAGCAGCACTACCTGCAGTAGCCACCAGGTGGCAACAAAGCTGTGTTGCATTGGCACGCCCTTAAATGTGGAACAAAAGTGCAGGAGGGGTGAGGCATAGGCTGACAAGTCTTTGATTGCTAAAAGTCTTGTTAAGCCTGCCACACGGTGTTCTCCACCTGAGGGGTGGAGATGGGGAGCCCAGGTAGCTACTTAACCCAAGTTGGGGAAAGGGTAATGTAAAATAATAATAAAGGGATACTCTTCTTTTCAACTCCTGTTTTCTCTTAATCTGGGTAATAATACATAACCAAAATAAATGTATAAAGGAAAAAAACAATAAAAGTTGTTTTGTCTTGATGCATGCAGCTGGTTTGCAGTGGTTGTACTGGATAATGCTGTGATTGCGGAAGGCAATTCTATCCCGCCCACCGGACACCTAAAAAAATGTAGAAAATTAATATTTCTCTGCCCTTGGTTCCTGTCAAAAGTGACAGAAACCAAGGGCAGTAGGACCCAGGGGAAGCCTGGCAGGTCCCAACAACAGCGGGGCTGCCCCCCATCCGGGGTTTCTGGGCTTGGAAGCACATGGCTGCCCCGCGCTGGAAGCTCAGGTAAGTTGGGGGTGGACCCTGAGCAGGGAAGGAGCACAGGGTGGGGAAGCAGCCCCGCGCTGCAGCTGCTTGCAGCCCACGTGGGGCTGCTTGTTCCTGCTCTGGGACAGCCCCATGCAGGCTGCGTGGGCCTGCAATGTGGGGCACTGGGTGTGGGGCAGGGGAGAGGCTGCTTCCCCACCATGCTCAGCTTTTCCTTGGGCTCCTTCCTTGCACAGAGAAAAGCAGCCCCTCACCTAGGCTAGCAGTGGGGCAGGTTGCAAGCTGGTGCTGAGCACAGGGAAAGGCAGCCCCTCGCCCACCCCATGGCCAACGCCGTGTGCTGCAGCCACCTGCAGCCTGTTTGAGGTTGGCTGTGCCTGCTCCAGACACGCCCGCATGGGCTGCGAGCACCTGCAGTGGGGGGCGCTGGCCATAGGGCTAGCAAGGGGCCACTTTTCCCCACACTCAGCACCAGCTTCTTCCCTGCCAGTGAGCAGGGGGTTGGGGCTGTGCCTGCCCCTTGCCTGTACCACGGGGCTGGGGGGCACTGGGTGTGAGCAGGCGGGGAGCCAGTAGGAGCATAGGGCCCGCACCAGTGTGCCAGCTCCCTGCTCCCTGCTGGTGCAGCCCAGCCTGGCTCCACAGACCCCTGCCAGCCTGGGCCCCACTGGTGCTGGCCCTGGACATTGGTCCCAAGATGGTGACCAGGGGGTGGGGCACCTGTCAAGGAGTGGTGCTACCCATGCGGCCCTTGACAGCCTGCCAAAACTGGGTAAGCAGCCCTTTGCTGAAAATAATTGCCTGCCCCTGGTGTAGATGGTTGCATTAGTTTTCAGTTGCATCTTCCTATGTGTTTATTTGGGCATGGCAGGACCTTCAACATCTCGGGGGAGCGAGGCCTGTGGCTATTCAGCAGGTGGTGCAGAGGGAAGGATCAGTGGGAGACTGGTACTTGTGCCACTCCAGCTGGCTGGAACTGAACTGGGGAACCGTTTTTCCTCTAATTGGGATCTAGCCAAGGTTAAAAGTGGATGGAAATCACAACAAGCAATCAGTTGTTAGGTTGTTGACAAGAAACCAGCAGGGTCTCTGCTTGAATAAGCCCACAGGGTTGTTATGCCTCTTACACTGTCAATTAACTTTTTGGCGGGCCTGAAATGCACTCTTCCCTGGGTATAGGCCTACGGCTTGGTCCCACCCAGAGGGCAATAAACCAATAATTCCAAGACAATCGGATACAAATTCAATGAAAATATAATGCATCCAGTCACTATCAGCACTAACAATAACAACAAATAGGAATCACAAGGTAAAACTACATACAATACTATAGTGAATTGCCTGTCAAGAATAAAGTGGGTAGGGGCGGCAGGGACAGTGTGCCACCATTCGTCACCCTGTGCCACCGCTGCCACCCCCCTCACACGCATGCACACACACCCCGCTCTGCATCTGGCCCTGCACTTCCAAGGGATGGGGGAGCTTGCATACGGCCACTTACACCTCCTGGGGGGGGAGCTTGCCCTGCCATCCCCTCTGCCAGCAGCTGGTGCCACCACTGCCTCCAAGGAGCAAGGCTTCACCACCCTGCTCTGTACCCTCTCCCTGCTGTCACGGCAACGCTCCGTCGTCCCACCGCATACCTGCTGAGCGCTCTGGTTTCGGTAAGCATTGTGATTGGTTCTCTGCAGCCAGTCAGAGTGCTCCAAGTGCGTTACGAACAGACAGACAGGCACACAGGCAGATGGACTAAGCCCTTTATATGGATTTACTAGCAAAGTACCCGTGGGGGACGGAGCCGATCGTTCGGCCCTGTGCTCCTGTCCCCCCGGCTAATCCAGCCCCACCCCCTTCAGGCTGGACCCTGACCCCACCAGGAGTTTGGGGCTGGGGCTGTTCTCCCTCCTTCCCCACCTCTGCCATGGGCCTGACCCTGTTGCCCCCCACTCACCACAGCAGCCCTGCCCCCGCTTTGGGGCCTGTCTGCTCCCCCCCTTGCCCCTGCCACTTCAGCTGTCTGTCCCCTGTCTGCTTTTGCCCCCCTTCGCTCCGGGGCCGGGCCCATGTCTGCACCCCCTGGCCACTGCTTTGGGCCCAGAGGCCTGTTCCCCACCCCCAGCCCCTGCAGCTTTGGGTCCAGGCCTGCTCCCCACTGCGGCCATGTCTGTGCCACCACTGCCCCACACCTGCAGGCCCAGCTGTGGCCATGGGCCCCACGGCGGTGGCAGCGGGCCCAGGCCTGGGCCTGGCAGCAGGCATGGGCCCAGCGGGGCGGCTGTGGGCATAGGGTGGGAGCCACAAGCTGGTGGCTGCGGCTACTGGTAACCGCCTCCTCTCCCTGCCGGCTCGTGCTGGGGGCGGTACTCTGGCCCCTGGCTCCAAGAAGCAGATCGGGGGGGGTGAGGCCACCTTGCCCCCTGGCTCTGTCCCCTCTGTTATGGCAGTGCTCCAGTCCTCGCTGTCCCCCTCAGCCTCCAAGGAGCAGGGATGGAGGGGGTCAGGCCAGCTCCGTCGGCCTCACCTTCCCCCCACCCCCCAGACCCTCAGTCCCCATTGTCATGGCGGCACTCCGCTGTCTGTCCTGTCCATCTAGAGCACTCTGGCTACCAGGAGAGCCAGTCAGAGCACGAATAAAGCTTTACGGACCGAGGCAGACTAAGGCTTTTATAATATTAGAACAAGTAACAGCCAAACAACACCACTGAGTTACCACACGAGGGCAGTGGGGAGCACTAAGGGCCTAGTGTGGAGACTGAGATTGTGGCTAAGGCCAAAGCAGCAGTCAGGGAGGCTTTCTTTGCCTTTACCCAAGCGGGTACTGAGCACCTCAGATTCAAGGGTAGGTGACACTTGACCCTCGTGAAGAATGGCAGGTCAATTGGGCAGGTGTGTTTAAGTACGGTGGGAGTCACTCCACAGCTCAGCGATACCCTGGAGTTCGGCCCCTCACTCAGACACCCTTTGCTTCGAAACAAGCACTGCATCCTCTCTGAGATACGACACTACTAATTCTCTCTCTAACTCTTGCAATCCAACCCTCAGTCAAGTGCTCACGCTGTCAGACTCACTCCTGTTGCACACAAGATCACGCTCCCGTGCCATGCGCGCAGGCCTTGCCCACCACCCCACGCACACCCCCTGAGGGACTGAGTACACGGTTTTCATCCTGGACTCATCACGCCACCTGTCAGTCATTTCATCCAATCAGTCACCTCAGTCTGTCAATCAATAAATAGTCCATCTCCACTGGGCCACTCATAACCGTCCACAACATGTACTTCATGATCATATTTTTCCCACCATCCTTTTTATATATATATATATATATATATATACACACACACACATACATATAAAGGGATCAGTCCATCTGTCTGTGCATCTGTAACGCTCTTGGAGCACTCTGATTGGCTTACTGAAGCAACCAATCAGAGTGCTGCGCACAGACAGACACACAACATCTCATGATGGGCTGCGCATGTAGGTCATAGTGGCATCAAGGGCAGAAGTTCAGAGAAACTTCTCACGTCTGGCCATCCTACCAGTGTGATCAGGCCTGGACTCAGCTAACAAGGTTAAGGTCTATTTACTCTTTAGGATAGATTTACCTCACAAAAATAACAGCAGTCTGGGGCCATCAAGTCTCAACAGGGGTCTTACTGAGGGACCCCCCGTGTTTGAAGGGGCAGTTTTAGGCCACAGAAGCTCTTGTGTAGAAACAGTTCCTGCCCATCCCCTGGATGAGAAGTGGGAGATGGCTCCTTGCCCATTCAGCTCAGCAGGGAGGTAGGCAATGGTCAAGGCAACCTTCTCTCACCTCTCTGTAGTGAGAAACTGCAGAAGGGGACCCATACCAGGTAGAAGTCCAGAGATTCTCCAGAACCATTAACCTAAAATTTGTATCTTGAATTGTCAAGCCTGCTGAGAAACCCATAGCTCTCATTGCCCTCTATGAGGAGCTGATGAGTGGGCAGCGTGACCTTTTGCTGGTAAAATTCAGTAGAGGAGAAAATTAAGATGTAACATATTCAGCTACCTGGCAATTGATTGTATTCTCCAGTCTGAAACTAACTTGCAGTTAACAAGGTCACCTAGTGAAATGCCTAAAAATAGGTTTGGCAGGGAGAGGCTTGTCACCATGGGACTGGGAGCACTTCCCCATCAAAGGAGACTGGGAAAAAACAAAATAGGCTGGGTGTCACAACCAGATTTCCTTTCTGTATTTGTAAGGGATTATGTGTCACCTCACTGGGGATTAGCAGGATGCTAATCTAGCTATTGTAGATATGTTGGTAGGGCCAGGGAGGTGCACAGAGTGGACTCTTGCTGGGAGGGTGACTGGAGGTAGGCTAACAAGAGGGGAGCATGGTGGGTGTGGGAGAGGCTGGTTCTGGACTAGAAAAGTGGCAAGAGCAGAGAGACTGCCCTGGTAAAAGGTGAAAACTCTGCCTGCACTGATCTCAGAGGGAGGAATTCAGTCTCTCGAGGCCTCGGGGGATGGATGAGGGGGAGAGAACAAGCCAGACGTGTGAGTGGAGAATGCCCTATAGAGCTGGAATGTGCAAGCTGAGCTAGGGATTTTTTTCTCTTGTGGATGTTGCACAAACAGCCCTGTGTGTAATCCCTTTGGTTCAGCTTGCCTCTACTGGGGGAAAGACACTTTGCACCATGGCTTCAGCAGAACGGCCCCCGGTGATCCTCCGGTCCCTTGACCTCTGCAGTCGTGCAATACGCCTGGCCAGGAAAATCCGCTCAGATGTTGTCAGCCTCTTGGATTCCTATGTAAGTCCCTCCATAAACCCATTTTTCTGCTACATCTTCCTTAGTCATCAACCCCACTCAAGGACCCATGCCAACTTACTGGCAGAGGGGATGGCTTTCTTAAATCCATATCCTGCTTGTTGCCCTAAGAAGCTGGAGTTTGGGGGAGGGAAGGGGGTGCTTGTTCTAATGTGACAAGTACTGGATGGAGGAGAATCCAGGCATACTGTGAACAGAAAAGGGAGAGGTATCAGCCAACCAGTTCACCCAAAAGGTATACTCAAAGGGAGATGGGTGAAGGGCCGTGCAGTGCAGGGTCTTTATGGAATTCCTGTTGGCAGAGAGGTGGTAGTGATCAAGGCACACTACATGTTGCAGAGAAGTTAGGCTCTTCTCTTGTCTTGTAGAGTTTCTGAGGCTGTTCCCACACAACTCTTGAGCTTTTTATTCAAGAGAATGGGCCCTTTCTTATAATTATTCTCATCACCATCACCACCACCCCTTGGGAATGATGAGGGAGAAGAGGGAAGGTGTCAGAGACCATGACACTGAGGATGCCTCCAGCTAGAATCTCTATAGCAGAGGTTCCCAACCGCTGGGCTGTGGCCCGGTACTGGGCCATGAAGGGCTGGCTGCTGGGCTGCCAGCAGTCATGTGCAGGGTTAAAGCTGGGCGGTGGGGCAGCTCTGGGAGGGAGGCAGCTGGCTCAGTACACCCTGTCCCGCTCCTGCCGCCATGGCCGTGCCCACACAGCAGGTATCAGGGCCCATGCTGGCCCGTGCAGGACCCCCCAAGCCTGCCCACAGCTGGGAGTGGGGGAATGCGGGCGGAGAATTGCCTGGGGTGGAGGGCAGGGTGATGGCTCTGCTGCTTCCTCCTAGGGAAGGCAGTAGAGCCCCTTCTTCCCGGGTAGCCCCAGATGCATCCCCCTGGGCCACCGCCTGCTCAGCCTCCTCCCCTGCAGGGTCCCCTCAGTGCCTGCAGCTGTGGTGACCCAACCTGATCCGATCCTCGCAACCTGCTCCCCCCACCACGTTAAAATTAAATGTAAATATTTAAATTTAAACTTAAATATGTAAATTAAATTTAAATATGTTTGACAGTCCACAGTATAAAAAAGGTTGGGAACCCCTAGTCTATAGGAGGGAATATGCATCCTCAGGATATTACCATCCAAGCTGGAACTGAAGCAGGGTGTGGGTAGAAGATTCTGCCATAGAAGGGGCTCCTCTGGGGCAGATGAGGGGAAGGTTTTGTGCCACCAGGACACAGTACATGGTAGGGGAAACTTTGGGCCTAATATTCAAGGTTTTGGGGGATTGTTTTTTGTTTTTAATGCTTTGCATATTTGAAAGGCTGCCTAAAGAGGAGACAAGTATTATCCCTGCCACAGAGTGCCATGAGTTTGAAAAACAGCAAATGTTTCTACCTTTCAAAAGAGTAGGAGCAGGGTCCAGCTGCCTAGGACTGTGGTGGTGGAATCTCTTCCTTTATGGGGGATTCCTGAAGGGGCTGGAAAGGCCCCTCTGGGACAGAGAAAAGAGTGAATCCAGCATCCGTGTAGGGGCTTGGATTAGCTGAGCCTTGAGACCCCTTCCATCTGTGATCCACAGCCCGGAAAGGGTAATGTCATAGCATAGTATAAAAATAGGATTGAAAGAGACCCCTGGAGATCTAGTCCAACTCCCTGAATGAGGCAGGATCATTCCTATCCAAACCATCCTATACAAATCCTTGTCTAACTTAACTCCAGTCAACCCTGTCATGCAGTCCCAAGGCATAGGACTAACCTGTCACAGCTAAAGCAGCGGGACAACAGCAGCCAGTGCCCTGCTGCTGCAAGCGTTGTTAAAATATGCTGGAGAGATACAAGGAAAAGGGCCATGGCTCCACTACAAAGTAAAACACCCACAGTCTATACCAATGTAACCATGGGGTAAAATTCCTTCCTGACCCCAAATAGGGTGATCTGTCTTACCTTGAGTGGAGGGGCAAGAACCTCTAGTGAGGAACCTCCAAGTTTTAGTCCCAGAAGGAGTATTGGCACATCACAGTCAAAATCTTCTGCCTTGGCTTTAGCTAACAACCAACATTTTTGAGGAAGGAGCGGGGAGAGCATTAATTAAAGTCAACCCTATCATGCAATCCTAACACATAGCACTAACCTGCCACAGGTAAAGCAGGAGGACAATGGTAGCTATTGTTTTTATATATTATAACTGTGATCTTTTTATATATGTGTGTGTGTGTGTGTGTGTAATATAAATGCCCTCACACTAGCAACAAGAAGTGTGGGGGATTCCTTCCCAGCCTCACCAGCATAGCACAGAAGCATGGGAAATACCCACAGTAGAGCATGGGCATAGCTATGGCTAGATCATCCCTGACCAATGATTATTCAGCCTCCTCTTGAACACCTTCAGTGTTTGACGTTCAACAATTTCTCTAGGCAGTCTATTCCACTGTCTCACTGTTCTAACAGTGAAGAAGTTTTTCCTGATATCCAATTTAAATCTACTTTGTTGCAATTTCAAGTCATAGATCCATGTCCTGCTCTCTGTGGCAAGACAGAGGAGGTGTTCACCTTCTTTATGGCACCCCTTCAGATATTCATATTCTTTCTGTGATTCACTAAGACTCCTAGATCCTTCTCAGCAGTGCTGCTATGCAGCCAATTTTCATCCATTTCATATTTGTGTTTCTGATTATTCTTCTGAAAGTGCAGCACTTGGCATTTGTCAATGCTGAACTTCCTGTTCAACTTTCCAGTTTGTCAAAAATCCTTCTTAATTGAGCTCCTGACCTCCTGACAGTCCTTCTCACAGTCCTCCTCAGCTCCTGACAGTACTTCTCAGTTTTGTGTCATCTGTAAATTTGCTCAAGAAACTTTCTATGCCAGCATCTAATCATTAATAAACATGTTGAACAGCACTGGGCCCAGAAGCAGACCCCTGTGGGACTCCACTTGAAACCTCCTGCCATTCCAGCATGGAGCCATTTATAATTACCCTTTGCTTGTGGCTATTGAGCCAGTTGTTATTCCACCTTATAGTAGTTTTGTCTAGCTCACATTTCTCCAATTTGTTTACAAGAAGGTCATGAGGGACTTTGTCAAAAGCCTTGATGAAGTCCGACTATAGCATATTCACTGCATCCATTCATCCACCCAAATGGTTAACTTGTCAAAGAAGGAGTTCAAGTTTGTTTGGCAAGTTTTGTTCTTAGTAAATACATGCTGGCTGCTCATGGTCAGCCTTTTGTTCTCCAGATGTCATAGTACAGGTACCATATGTATTATATGGGAGGTACCAAGGCATGAGGAAATAGATGGTTCAAGGAATTGGCTAGCTCCACCTGACACATCATTTTTATAAGAGGGAGCTTTCACTGGGTGCCCAGCTCTAAATTCCCTGAGCTAACAACCTGGCAGAAGCACTTCCCCAAATCCTGAGGAAGTGCTGTCTCCAAGTAGGAAGTTCTCCAGCAGAAACTCTCAGGCAGCTCCTGTAATGCATGAAGCCCCACCCTAGTACTTGCTCTTGTTGCTTAAGGAGAGACATCTGTGACATTAAGGCTGCCAATGCTCCCAAAGGCAATGCCTGATGGCTGCTGTTTTCCTAGCCAGGACCACCCACCTTCTGGAGCTGAATGCACCAGCTGCTCTAGCTTGATGATAAGCAAGACTTGTTACTGGGCCTGGTATGACCCATGGACAAGCAGGGAATCCTAACTTATCCCAGTAGAGCTATGAGTAGTAGGTTTCCCATGGCAGGCTTGACAGCAGTTGCCTTTGCTAAGGCCACAATGAGAGGAGGAAACTGTCCTGTTTGTACTGGTGGATTCTCAACAAGACAAGCAGCAGTTTCCCTCACTCTTCCTCTAGTTTATTCCTCTTCTCATTTGTGTCTATTGCACAACCAAGGTCTAGCACAGTAAGCATATTCTTCAGCTTCTGTTTCTTAACAGTCAGCCCACCCTTTTGTAGCTCTTTCATATACAAACTTGCAAGGTGAATGGGACAATCTTTCTAAACCTTGACCTCTGTCCCTCCCCCCTGATCCCCAAACCAGGTTGAACGGCAGGGGCTGGACAAGAACATCAGCCTGGATGGTGTAGACAGCATGCCAACAGCTGCTGTGGAGCACTGGAGCGAGCTGACAGAAGCTGAGCGCCTGGGGAACAACCTGAAGGCCTATCGTATCTTCCAGACCCTGCTGGCTGAGGTCTTGGAGGATCAGAGGACTCACCTGACCCCCACAGACACCAACTTCCATGAATCCATCCAGTCTGTTATGCTGCAGGTCTCAGCCCTGGCCTCCCAGCTGGAGGAGCTGTTGATGCTGCTGGAGCACAGTGTACCAGCCCGAGAGGAGGTAGAGGGCACTGCAGACAGCACAAGCCGCAGCATGTTTGAGAAAAAGCTGAGGGGGCTGAAGGTGCTGCAGGAGCTGGCCCAATGGTCTGTGAGGTCCGTGAAGGATTTGCATCATGTTACCAAGCACAGTCACAGCAGCAGCACAGTCCATGTAAGCCACCAGTAAACCCAGTCTCAGATAGAATGAGGCTGCCTGCCTCTTCCCTACATGTGTGCAGGAAAGCACTGTGGGGAGGGTGAAGGGAGTGGCAGGGGAGGGAGTGGCAGTCCATGCCAACCCCCTCCTGGTGGGTTGTCTGTCCACCCCCTCCTGGTGGGTTGTCTGTCCAGAGAGGTATCCCAGTACAGCAAACCAGAGCCAACTTGGGGTGGTATGGGACAGTTCTCCCACTGCCGGGTCAGACCAAGACCCCAGACCTAGCAGCCAGCTAGATCATGGGAGGGACCTGCCCCAGGACACCCATAGCTGGCTCTGTGCCTCAGCTCTTCCTTAGGAGAGCTGCTTAGCACCCATAAGTTAAGGCTTGCACAAGGAGACGCTGCTTAGCACCCACAAGTTAAGACTTGGCAAGAGAGAGGGACCAGCAGGGAGAGGTATTGCCTACACTTCTGAATGTCCCTACTCTCCTGCTACCTGTTCCCCACCCATTGCCCTGGGGCAGGCTTGGGCAATATCCCTGCCCTTCACTCCCCTTGGCCTTGACCTTCCCCTCAGTTGAAGGAGACAATTGCTGGGTAGGGGCTGAGGGTAGGGATCACAGGGTTAGGCTGTTCCACTTTGGAGCATAGACCTACTCCCAGGGGGTAAGCATGATGGTGCAGTGCTGGAAGGGTGTGTTCATGGCAGTGGGAGGCCTAGCCTCTTAAGTGGCTCCTGCCTAGGCCAGATCCCAGTGCCCTCTGTCCAGCGCCCATTTTTCCTTGCTGTCCTGCCACTTGAGCTGTGCCTCCTATGCCTGGTATCACACTGGACTTTAGCAGGTCCCAAAGCAAGGGGTGTGCAGAAATAAGCAAGTCTCTAGGCAGGGACACCTTCAAGCAAGTTCCTGCCACTAGGATGCACTGTCTTTCAGTGCATTGGAACAAGGGTGGTAAAGAACCTGGGGGTGGGTGAGAAGGGTGACAGGGGCTTGTTTGAGAGGGGCAGTGAAAAGTCTGGAGTGGGATAAGAGGGAAGGAAGACCTGTTAGTGTAGTTATGTGGAAATGCCTTGCCTAGGGATTCCTAGATGCTGCTGGACTCAGGGTCTCACCCAAAGGCACCTCAGCTTTCTGCTCTGGTGCCAGGGAGTTAGGTAGCTCATGTGCCATGTACAGAGAAGGCCTCAAATGTGTGAGATTCTCTCCCACACCCCATATCCCATTAAATGTTCCTTTCTTGCTGCTGCTTCTGCTTTTCCTGGTTGATTCTCTGAAAAAAATTGGAAAACAAGTGAGGTTCTGCATTAGAGATTCTATGCTAGTGACCTAATTATGCCAGAAGGAATTGAATTACGTCCAAATTTCTTTTAAGAATGGATTTAAAACTAATGCCCAACAGACACTTTGAAGGAAAGTTCTCCCTGTTCAACTGAGTTCTGAAAGAGATCCAAACGCTAGCCTACTCTCTGCCCCGGTCCTTCCGTAAAACCAGACACAATAAACATCAGTAAACTTCATATTTTGAAAGTGAAAAAAAAAGAAACAAAGCAAAAAAAAAAATTCTGCATGTCAAAAAATAAACCATTAAGGCCTTCTAGCTATGCATCTATAACAAGCTTTTTATTAATTTTTAGTATATAATTAGGATTTTTATGAAGGAGTAGAATATCTGATTTCCTTCTTGCCTTTGCAAGTCACTTTTAAACACAGTTCCTCTAATGTAGCTCTTATACATTTGGATAAACAGTTCTAACAGAAGTCATTTTAGCTTTGAAACATTTTGGGTCTGACAGGTTTTGCGATTTTTGCTTTTGAAAAACCGGACAGAATTTAATCTCTAACGGTACTAACAGGGATTCTTGGAGTCCCATAAAACTTTGTGATCTCTAATTTTGCCATCTGGGTTTTCCATTGTGATCTCGAGTTCTCCCATAGGTTAAAGTTAGTGGCTGTTTTTAGCATGAGAAGATACTCTTGGTTTTCCAGGAGAGTAGCAGAATGCACTGTGAAGAAAACTGCACTGGAATAAGATGATTACTTTTTCAATCCCCGAAGAAAAGTTTGTAGCAGGGTCAGAGTGTCGCTGTAGCTGTGATGATCCAGAAAAAATGTGCATGAGTTGAGGGTTCTTTGTGATACCTTTTATTGAACCAACTGTATAGCAGGGAGAGCTTCCAGACAAGCTTTTGGGCACAAAGTGCCCTTCCACGGTTCTCCAACCCATACAGTTGGTCCAATAGAAGATATTACAAAAAAATCCTCCCCTCATAGAAAAGTTTCTCATAGAAAATATTTTTGGATAATGAGAATATTTAGAACCTAGCAAGATTTTAAATGTCCAGAAATGTGGGGATGAGAAGTGGTTTGAGCTGTTTAAGAGAGAATAAAGGAGAGTGTGTTTCAAACACGGTGTGCTGGCTTGATTTGAGGAGGCTGGGGAAATAGGGGTGGCCTGTTCCGCTTAACACCTCTAGAGGGCAGCAATAGTCCTGTCTTAGCTACAGGTTTATACTGTCCAAGGCTATAGCAGCCTATCTGGGCAGCAGCAGGTTGCTCAGCACAGGCTGCAGAAGCCACCTAAACCCTGTGCTACTAGTGGGTCTGCTGCTAGCTGGGGTTTTTCCTTGTAGTTTGAAACAGTCAAGACCCTCCACTCCCCACCCTGCCCATATGGGTCATAGGGGGCACTGAGCTACGTATGTGATCTCTCTTGTGTGCAGGTGCAGAGGGGAATGCCACGGCCATTGCAATAGGGTTGCGGTCTTCACATGGAGTGAACTTGCTTTACCTTCTCCCCCCACCTCCGCTGCACTGTCCAGGGAGAGGATATTACTCCTTTCCCAGGTTGAAAGTGAGGAATTGTGAGGTGGGAGGAGAAGAGTGTCACTGACTGGCCCTGAGGCTGCTCAGTGAGTCACGACTTGGAACAGAGACATGGCCACAGAGTCGTAACAAGGCAGCCAGGCCCCAGGAGCAGCAGGATGCATGGGGGTAGTGGTGATTTCCAGCTTCAGCTATGGCTATGGAGCAGGATTGTGTGATGAAAGGAAAGGCTATTATTTTTCTGCTCTGCTCCCACCTCTCAAGTCAGCATCTGGGGCTGCTGCTTCATGCCCATGCTTCTCTGGGCACTGCCCACTCAACCCTTCTGCCTTGTGGCTTCCTTGACTAGCCCATAAGATGTGGGATTCTCTCCATAACCACTGCCCCAGCTCTGGCTCCAAGCAGCAAGGTAAGGCTATGGGTTTACTGGGATACGATCGTGTGTTAGGAGCATTTAGCTATTCAGCTGTTTCAGCTTTGTTTGACCTATTGATGGGGTTTACATTCCGTCCACAATAACACTCATTGCGGGGAGGGGGGAGCAAGCGTGAAGTGATTTCCATTTAACCTGTTGGGCTTGGGACTGCTCTTTCATCCCAGAATCTGTCTGGCTGTCTCTCTGTCTCCCCAGCCCCTTGAAATCCATTCCCCAGAACAGAACATACTAGATATGGCTGGGGCCCAGCTGGTGTCTCCTGGGGCCATTAGCCCTTAGTATGGAGCGACTTCTCTAACCTGCCTGCCCCAGCCCTCCATAAACCCCCTGCCTTCATCAAATCCCACCCTGGCCCTTAGAGCCCTCTCCCCATGTTGCACCTGCTCCAACCTGCTGGCTCATCTCTGCTGACAGCCCCTGACCCTGTCTTGCTCCCATCAGCAAGCATCTTGGTGTCCTTAAGCTCCCAAACCTTATGTACATTCCTTCCCTTCCCCTGTCCCCACCCTGCCAACAGTTGTTTGTCTGTCTATGCTATGGGATCTTACCCTTCAATTTGGGGACATAGATCTCCAACAGGTAACCAATTCCTCCTTCTTTACCCCTGCAACCACACATCCTGTTCCACAGAGCTCCCCTCCACAAACTGTGTAAAAGGGACCTGCAGTCACCTGATGCCCTGCTCATTTCCACAACTTCCTTTTTTTTAATATATATATTTTTAAATTTCACCCCACCAGGCTGCAGAGAACCTCTTGAAATCATGACCCCTAATATATACCAGAAAGCAAAATGTGGCGCACAGTGGGTGAGAGGCCGGGGGGGGAGACTGCAAACTGCATTCCTTGGTTGATCTTGATTTCAAAGCCAACCTCACCATTCTCTGTGACAGTCGCCTGCCTCTCCTCTCCCTGTGGGCTTGGCAATCCCATGTTCCATACGGGCACACGGACACTTCCAGTCCAGGTATGGATGTTGTCACTGCCAGACAACCGCTCTCCTTTGTTTCCCTTGGTGAATGCAGCATCGCCTTGTTGGGGCCATACCAGGAACACCTGGCTGATTGCTAGTGCTTCATGCACAGAGCTATGTGCAATAATAAAGGGGCTCCACTTGGATTGCAGAACTTCCATCTTTATTACAAAAGCAGTATGCTCAGTACTGCTGTTTGCAGCCCTGTGATGCAGTATGCGCTCAGAGCTATTGCAAAATTCTCCAAGCACATTGAGCTTTCTGGTTTCACCCTCAAAATCATCCCTACTACTGCTGGTATTCCACTTTGCAGGAACCTATAGGTTGCTATCACTAGGAGTATTGCTACAGCAGTGATAAACAGACAGATTGTCTCCTAAAGGTGCAACCACCTTCCCCAAGGGACTAAAGTACTGCCCCAGCCTGACTTGTCACACTAATTCTTAGAAATTGCAATTAATCCCTGCTTCTCCCCCAGCTCTACCATGCCCCTCCCCCTGCCCCAGCCCCTTGCCTGTGGACCATCAGCTGCCTCGACCCAGCCCCAGCCCCAGGAGACTGAGTCCAAGGATGGTGACAGGGGGTTCAAGCTGAGCTGATCTGGGGAGCTGCCACAGCAGTAGATTCATATCTTCCTGACTCCTGTGCTGAACAGCTGGATCGCAACTCCTGATACCCCCTGCTCTTGTATCTCCGGGTGCCATAGATGACCCCAATGACAGCTGCCAGCACCATGATCATAGCCACCACGATGCCAGCCACAGCACCCCCTGAGAGTCTTGAGCTGGACTGTGCCTCAAAGAGTTGAATCATTTCCTGCTCATCGGTGGTGTTAGCTGGCCGCCAATGCCTGCTGCCCTGCAGCTTGACCCAGGCTTGGCTGCTGTTCAGCTGCACCAGGATAGTCTCTACCAGACTGATGTTGGGAGGCGGCGGGCGCAGGAAGGGGGGCAGCTTGATGGGGGCCAGCTGCTTGGCAAAGAGCGCCCCAGCCTGTAGGCAATACATGACCTGGCAGCCGTCGCTGAGGTAGGCCTTGTGTTGGCTGTACCCCTTGGGACACTTCATGGGGTAGTCGGTGGGGGCCTCCTGGTAGAAGAAATCCTGCAGGAGCCCTGGGCTCTGCCCCTGACGGAGCCCAGCCAAGGGGTTGCCAGCCTGGCAGCTAAAGAAGCCTCCAAAGGGCACGGCAAAGGGGGTTGCCATCTCATAGTCATTGCTTACACACACCTTCAGGCCCTCAAAGAGCTGCAGTGGGTAGAAGTTGGCAGGGCAGGCAGGGGCCCCCATGATAGGGTTCTCCTGCCCAGGGCTGTACAGCCCACCAAATAGGAAGCCTGAGCCCTGGGGCACGGAGCTGCTGGCAGCACACCAGCTAGCTGTGAACCGAACAGTAGTGGTGTAGTAGCGGACGCCACAGACCTTCTGGCAGCAGGTGAAGAACAGCCAGCAGGTGTAGCACTGCTCCCTGCACTCAGTCCGGGGCTGGCTGGCTGTGCGCTCTTCTGCATGTAGTGGGACAGACCCAAAGCCAGCTGGGCAAGAGAAGCTGCCTGTCAGTGGGTTACGTGTATGGTAGGGCTGGCACAGTGCCTCCACGTCCTCACCCGACACACCCACACACTCCTGGAAAATGCCCCCGAAAGTGAAGTTGGTGCTGGCTGCATGGCATGACCCGTCATCCACATTGGCTTGGAAGTCAAAGTTGCTGGAGTCGGTGTTCACGCAACCTGGGTGAGTGTTGATGGCATAGTAGAGACGGATAGCACGCTCCACTGTGGCTGTGGGCACTGGCTGCTCAGGCAGAGCTTCAGGCGTGAGGAAAAAGGACAGGGGCAAGCCACGCCGGCCAATGGCCACCAGGTGGTTAGGAATCCCCTCCTGCCACTTCTGAAGGGTGATGCCCGGGTAGAAGGGCACACTACCATGACTTGCAACCCGGGAGTCCACTGTGTTCTCCATATAGTCCTTTGTCAGCTCATCCTGCACCTGTGCAGAGGCTCCGATGCCCACATTGACCTTGCTGAAAAAGGTGACTGAGGCCGAGGCAGTGACAGCTGACTTCTGGGCTACTTTGTCCAGGACAAAGGTCCGTTTGACTTGGTCCTCCTGGATCAAGCTGGCTCCAGCCTCCAGCCTGGTCAGGACATGGGTACCATAGCGGAGCACCAGCAGCTCTGCTAGGTATTGAGCTGCCCGGCTCCGGTTGTTCTCCAGCAGGTTGCCAATGTCCACGAGCTGGCTGCGGAGAGCAGGGTGCAGGGCAAAAGGAGGCTGGGCCTGCACTGAGTAGATGTGGTGCCTCACCTGCACACGGGTGGTGACTGTCTGATCGTAGACATTATGGGTCTTGGTCTGTTGGTTGCTGTCAGAGAACCTGCCATTGAGAATGCCCAGAAATGAGGCCTCGGCATTGATGGAGCCAGCAAAGGCATCAGTGTAGGAGAGCCAATTCTCGATCAGCTCTGAATGCACTTCCACAGCACTCTCCCGCAATGGTATCACATCCACCCCATCAGGAATGAGGTACTCGCTGTCCTCGGTGGTCCGGCACTGGGTGTATGTAAGGTCTAGCACCCTGCCCATCTCCACATTCTGCAGGTTGTCCCAGCCCCCACCTGGCAGCACCTCCAACACACTCACATTCAGGGCCCTTTTGCAGGCTAAGAACCCAGGCTCCGTGCTGACAGCCACTGTCATGCTCAGCAGAGCCCAAAGCCACATTGCCCTGGCTGGGCACATCCTGGGGAGAAGCTCTCCCTAGGAGATGAGTCTCTTGCTTCTCACTCAATGTGTCTCCTCTGAGCAGCTGTTACCCAGATGCCTGCTCAAATCTTTCTCCCCATCATCAGCAAGTCTTTGATTTTCAAAAGAATTTATAGAAGAGATTGGGGGGGGGGAGGGGGGGGGGGGGGGAATAGTTGCGGGAGAGGAATCGTTGCATTGTCCAATCACAGTGCACAAGTGGAAGACAGGCAGGGGAGGGGGCTGACTCACAGTCATCTGACTTCACTCTGCCCTACCAAGAGGAAAATACCCTCAAACCACCCTCCCAGCCCCAGCCAGCAACCTCCCTGTTTAGCAGCACTTCCCCTGGGGAAATCCGTCCTCCTCACCCAGTCCCAGGGAATCAGATGCAAGAGGGCTGGTCTCAGTCCTGGAATTTCTAGTACGTGAAAACAGAGAATCGAAACTTAAACCTCTCAGCAGGGAGGGATGGGCGGAGCTCAGACAGCTCTGCCTGGCAGGGACTTTCCCAGGTTATGAGGGAAAGGGTGTTCACACAGCATGAAAGTGAACAGGGGCTTTGCTGGGGAAGTGTCTGTATGTTCATGCATGACTGTACAGAATGTGTGCTTCAGGGGAAGTGAATGTGTAGAATGTGTGCATATGTACATGCAAGATGCATGTGTATATATGCAGAATGTGTGGGCATACATGGATATGTGTGCACAGAACTTGTGTGCATGTGTATTCATAGATTCATAGATGTTAGGGTCAGAAGGGACCTCTGTAGGTCATTGAGTCCGACCCCCTGCCCTGGGCAGGAAACAGCACTGGGGTCAGACAACCCCAGCTAGGTGCTTGTCCAGTCTCCTCTTGAAGACCCCCAAGGTAGGGGATATCACCACCTCCCTTGGAAGCCCATTCCAGATTCTGGCAACCCTTACCGTGAAGTTCTTTCTAATGTCCAACCGATGTCTGCTCTCCATCAATGTTGCTCTCTGTCTAATGTCTGCTCTCCATCAATTTGTGGCCATTGTTCCTAGTTACTCCAGGGGGTGCCCTAGTAAATAGAGCATCTCTTATTCCCTGCTGCCCTCCCCTGATGAATTTATAGGCAGCCATAAGATCACTTCTCAGCCTTCTCTTGCCAAGGCCGAAGAGATCTAGAGAGGAAATGTGTGACCATCTAAAATTATGCTTGTAACAGAAAAGAAAAACTCTGGACCAACCCCTCAGCTGGTGCAACTCAGCAAAGTTCCAGTGAATCTCAGCTGGCAGAAACGCCCTAGAGCCTCACGGATTTATACTCTGTCTCAACTGTGCATGTGCTTCCTAAAGTGATTGTGCCGTGGCTGGTGCTGGGACATCTCCAAATCCTCAGCCTGAATCACAGCTTGGACATGGAGCTGGAGATGCTACAGCCCACATGCAGGTAACTTAGCTGTGATCTGTGGCCTCCCCTAACCCTTGGGGCCAGCTCCTTTCTCGCGGAGCAGCCTTTAACCTTCTCATTAGATAAAGAGCTCCCATGGGCTTACTGAATACAATCCAGCTGTTGTCCATGCTGGTAGCTGTATGACGGCTGTCCAATCATGTGAAACCACCCACCTGTTGTTTTAATTCGGAGATGGTGTGTGTGTGTGTGGGTGTGTGGGTGCATGCATGAATGTGTGTGGGTGTGCATACATGTGTGCGCACATAAATATGCCTGTGTTTGTGAATGTACTTATGACTTCCAACCTGCGCAAGGAGCCCTTCCCCCCACCACAGTGCTTGGAGCCAGTCAGCCTTGGCCAACCCTGTTCCCCTCTCTCACTTCTTCCTTGCTTCACTTCCTGTTTCTGCAGGTGTCTGAAGATCACAGCTCTTCTCACAGGGCTGGAACAGGGTAGGGCTGCCGAGGACTTCCTCCCCACAGGGATCCCTGCTTCCGCATGCTGGGCAACATGTTTCTGGCAGGGCTAGAAGCATTGGTGACGCGGAGGGCGTGCACACGGGAGCACGTGCACCCCCTGAGCGTGGCAGTGCACCCCCTGCAAAAAGGTGCCACTGACACTGTTGGCGGTGCCTGTGGGCAGTCGCTGCTCGCCACCCCCAACTCCTTCGCCACTGACACTTCCGGCGCTGTCTGCAGGTGGTTGCCAACCACTGGTTGGCACTCGCCACCCCACTCTCCCCACCGCCAACAGTGCTGCAGCTGCCTGCGGGAGCTCCCTGGTTACCTCCGCCACGCTCCCACCGCCAACAGCGCCGCCACTGCCTGTGGGAGCTTGCCATGCCCCCCAGCCTCTGGGGGCATGCGGCATTCATGGCTAGAAGACTGCAGTTCTCCTTCCGCTGAGCCTTGGTGCTCCCAAATAAGTAGGGGGCTACTTAAATTGCAGAGAACCTAAACAAGTTTTGTGGGTTGGTCGTAGTATAAATAGCAGATTCGGCAGATATTTCCTGCATGAGCTCATGCACGATATATAACAAAGTAAAATATATGCAGAGTTGTACAAAAAGTTTAGAAATACTAATTTATGCTTACCTTTATAAAACAATCCAGTAAAGTAGGTGCCTATGCACCGGTGAGGGGAGGAGGGAACGAAGGGGTGGTCGCCATCTTGTGCGTAGCTGGAGCCAGGTGGAGCAGCCCTCAGCGAGGCGACTGCTGCCCTTCACACCACCCCGCTTGCCAATGCCTTCCCACATCACCACCCCGCTGAGGCAGGCTGCGAGGCCAGGCCACAGCGGCAGCTGGGACCACTGGCTCCCACTGGGGAGCCAGCATTTTATTAAGTTGCTGAATTCCCGGACAATCCCATATTGTGTGTTTTCCACAAAATCTGCAGAATTACAAATTGAGTAGACTCTTACGGATAGGACAAGTTTGGATTTGATCCCCTGCCCCCACATCGAAGTTCCCCAAGCCCTCCACGCCTCCTGCCTTCTGCGTTCCTCCTGCTGTGAGGGCCAGTGACTCACTGCTCACCTGGTGTACGTGGTTTATTTCCTGACCTGACAGTTCCTCTTTTACGAGGTGAGCAGGGGCTTTCTCCATGCTGCCACAACCCTCGATCCCACCCACACACATCTTTCTTCCCACAGGCTGTTCCCCTCCTTCTCAGAGGCTGCCCTACCCTGAAATACAATCACTCCTATTACCCTTTGGGAGCCATGATCCAGGCTTCACCCCTCAACCCAAGTCAGTCAGCTACTTAGATTGGTTAGTCACCGACCATAAGGTCTCTTAGGAGGGAGCTGCTCACCTGTTCTGGAGCTCCCCTCCCCTTGCCTCAGGGCATGAATGCCACGTGCCCCTGGAGGCTGGGGCCACACAGCGAGCTCCCGCAGGCAGTGGTGGCGCTGGCAGCGGTGGGAGCATAGCGGCGGCAAGCTCCCACAGGCAGCCACAGCACTGTTGACGGTGGGGGTGGCGAGCGCTGACCAGTGGCTGGTGACTACCTGCAGACACTGCCGGCAGTGGCAGCAATGGTCAACAGTGATCGCAGACTGCCTGCATATGCCACTGGTGGTGTCGGCAGGAAGGGAGATGGAGTGGCAAGTAGTGACCGCCCGCAGGCACTGCTGACAGTGTCGGCAGCGCCTTTTCACAAGGGGTGTACCACCATGATCAAGGGGTGCGCGTGCACCCGTGTGCACCCCCTACCTATCGCCAATGCCTCAGGGGATCCCTTCTCTGCTGGCTCCAGCTCAGGGCAGCCTGCTTTGCCAGAGGCGATCTCCCTCTCCCGCTCTCTCTCTCTCTCTCTCTCTCTTTCTCCATCAGCAATCTCCTACCATTTCCCCACAGCATTTCCCCTGCTCCTTTTTTCTTGCCCCTGCCTTCTCTCTGGTCAGATAACAGCTGACATATAGCACCCTCCTCTGTTGGCTGAAACATGGCATTTAAAGGTCTGTTTTGGGGGAAATTGGCTTTTAGATATAGATATATGTATTATAAGGGGTCAAGATGGGCAGCAGGGGTTAACTGGATTTCTAAGAGCTTGGGTTTCACACACAGAGTTCCCTATAGCCCTGGAGGCAGACAGGCTATCTAGCACAACAAGGCTAACAGATGGACGTAGCCTGAGGATTGAGGGGAGCATGCCATAATACAAGATCACAGCCTTCAAGGCAGGCAGGTTGTCTAACACAACAAGGACATGCAGCCTGGGAACCAAGGAAGTATGTACCATACTGTCCCATAACATGAGATAAGTGACACCAGCTACAAGGTCTCAGAAAGCAGGGGGGCCTGTGTCCTGGTTTTGGGGGAACAGACCAAATTAGGAAAAGGCCCGGAAGGCTATGTGGACGTGTGACCACAGAGAGACAACCAACCAGAGATAGCCATGGATGAAGAATCATCAGGAGTCATCAAGGGGGAAGGGGAATACAAAAGCAAAGACTTGAGATTAACAAATAGTCCCTCCCTGGCCCTCACCTTCCTGAAAGGGGTCCCCATCCCCCCCCCCGGGAAGGATCCCTGAGGCCACCATGGACTGAGGGCACACACAAGCAGGCTGTCTCATGCACTCCAGTGGAGGGGGGCTGTGGGCCTCGGCATCCCGCCTCCAGACTGCTGACACCTAAGAGAGAGAGCCTCAGAGTGGAGCCTGCATCATGACCAAATGTACTTTGACTCTGATGACAGCCCTAGGATTGGTAGATATAGAATTGTTTATATTGCTGGTTTTTGTTATCGCTCTGTACCAATAAACTCGCCTATTATCAACTGGCAGGTGTTGTGGACAGTCTGAGGGTTGCGCTCATCTGGAACAAAGGTATAGGGGTTGGGTCCAAATCCAGTGCCAACACCCTCCTCTATGCCCCCCAAATCAGAGCAATTGCTGGGACAGTTCATGCCAGAGCTGTTGGTGACACAATGTCCAAATGTCCCCATAGCTAGCACAGCCACAACCTCCCAGCACCATGCCTCTCCAGGGCTGCTGCGCACAGCTGGTTGTCATGGGCAGCCTGGTGCACCCTTCCACTGGTGCTGGATGCATAAGGATGACTGCAACCCTACACTCATCAGGACATGGGTTTACTTAGCCCCACAGAAGGAACACAATGCTCAGGGGGGAATTCAGCATCCAGTGCTTAGGTTGAGAGAAATTCCTCCACATTTCTGCCCTGTTGTGACCCATGAG